AAGTCAAGTATACAGGTTCATCATCCATCTCAGGATTAAGATGACAACATATAATTCGTCAAAAGTGAATTGTTTTATTCAAACAGAATTATTAATTAAAACAATTCAACTTTGGTCCGATCCAATATAGATTTCACCATTAGAAACTATATTAATGTCTCCACCCATGGAGTCCCACCTCCGACGACCAAGACAAGCCGTCTCCGTTAGGAAGTAGACAACATAACAATCTTAACATGAATAAAGCGCCCAACTTTATTCCCTCGATTATGGATCATAAGATTTACACTATCATCTTTAGATTCTTGTCTTCCACATGTTCTTCACATTACATGCATGACCTAAAGATTTAGAATGACAGTCTCAGACTTTCAGTTTGCTTATCATACATTCAACTATTATGAACATAAAGAGGACAATTCATAGATATATAAAATAAATAAATCTTTATTAATAGTCAAAATATCTCAAAGAATATTGTTACATTTATTCCTAAGGGCATAAACGCTAACACTATTGACCTATTTTTATAGGCTATTTATTGTTTTGTAGTGTGCTTTTATTTGTCACTAGGATTATTAGGACAAATTTATGTTTGAAAACTTATTCTTTTGTTGATTCTAATTGCTCAACCATGCCATCTCCTATTGCATGAGGGAAAAGAACCATAATCCCTTACTTGAGAAAGCTATAACAAACTAATGGGATTGGACAAGGCACAATGTTATAGGATTAACTAAAGAGAAGAAATTTTTTATTCAACAACAACCGAGAGAAGACAAATTCAAAGCCAATCAATAATGTGCACACAACGAAAAAATTTGAAACCTCAAGGAATATGAACGAAACACCAATGTAATATTTGTCAAAAAGACAAAACAAAATAGACAAAAGTTAAAACTAAGATTTAAGAGTTGACCATCATTTAGAAGTGGTTGACCTCGTCTGATTTGTAAAATCTGAGCCGATTACCCGCATAAAGGCCTCTAGTAACGTGAAAGATTTTCTAGTAATGCCTGAGGAAGATCATGCGCCCACTTGCCCTAGAGTTGCTTACTTGAACAAGTGAGACACCCTCAAAATCGTGGAGGTAGATAGGGAACCGTTGCATGATAGGTGGTGGGATGATGTGCTCTGCAAGTGCTTGAGGCACTTCAAAATTCCTGTCAACGTCTGATGATTAAAGCGTCTTGATGCAAATCAAATCTTCATTATCATATTGGGCCACGAGCTGTGGTAGTGGCGAAGGGTGCGGTGGCAGCTGCAACTGTAAAGGATTAAGAGGAAGAATTAATTTTGGATCACTAATTAATAGTGAAAAGTCCCTAATTTGATTTGAAGAGTTGTATAACAAAAAATAAGAAAAAAAAAAATACACGAGTACTCACTGTTTTCTTTTTAGGCCTCCTCTTCTTGAGCAAAAAGTTCAAGAGAAGTGACATCCCAATCTTCAAGTGAATCCCTCTGAAAGATCACTTCCTAACAAATCAATAAATTTGTGAGGTCAAATAAACAACAAGTAATGCAAATAAACAAGCTAATAAAACTATGAGATGGTAAAAGGAAACCCCAACCATGCATGTGGAACAATATTGACATTATCATTTCCTTTTCCAATTACCTCTCTCTGCTTTGGCCCAGCTCCGAATACTTACCACTTTTCTTTTTTTTTTCTTTTTATGACCCATTCTTTAATGATACGTTTAACCGAGTAGGGCACCAAGCTAGCTTCCACTTGTGTCTCCTGGGCTGGTTGACCCTTTACCAAACTAAATAGGACAAGTCCTAACTAAAAGTATACCAAGCGGTTACCTTAAACAAGATATGTCTAATATTATGTGGCCTCAAACAGGGCGAGAAGAAATTCCAATCATGCAGCATACGATATTTCTAAGATGGTAGAGAAGAAAGTCTAATCACATAATATACAAACAGTTTTAAGTTTGATATATATATATATATATATAAATATAAATGTGTGTTTGTGTGTATATGCACACATTGTGGTCATATCAATATGCCTTAAAAAATAAACCTAAGCAATTCAAATAAGAGATCCAAATGAAACAGTGTCTTTTTCAAACACTATATGTTGATTCGGCTTTATCCCAAAAACAAATGAATAAACATTAATATGGTAATCCATTACCAAAACCCAATTTCAAATTGGCTATTGCATTATATGTAATTCGCCATTGTATAGCTAGGAGTATTCACTCTTACATTTGAATTATTGAGGAAGCAAATATTTTTTTTTAATTTTTTAAAATATATCTTTCTGCTGTTAAATTTTATTAAAATTTAGTAGTAAAAAATATGTTTTGAGCAACTAAAATAATATTTAGTAACGAAAAACATAAATATTTAGAATCCGTTCATTTCGCTGATTCGAGTTTAGAATTCGAGTTTTGCTACAGTAAAAAGCTCTCACAAACAATGACATTTAACTTTTTTGCTACAGTAAAAAATTCTCATATAAAATCACATCTCAACTCAAATTAAAAACTCGAATCAGCGAACTAAACGGGCCATTAATCTACCCTCCCTAAAAATTCAAACCCACCCTCTCTTTCACTTTCTCTCGCTCTACCTCACTTATATCCCTCTCTGTGTCGCTCTCTCTTTTACTCAGTCTGATCTTCTTTTTTCCCTCTGCATTTTACTCTCTTTCGTGCACTCAAATATGTGACTTCTTTCGATCTGTGGGTTAGTTTTCATATTTTTTTTTTTCTGTGGGCTATTTTTTTATTTGCTTTTCTATGATTTTGTAATCTTGTCCTTTCTCCCGTTAACTCTCTTTGAAACTTTTGTTGTTCATCATCATCATCAGCTTCCGTTTTTCCAGTTTTCTGTTTTCGAAAACTAAGCCTCTATGTATCTGTGACAAGGTAAAGCTCTCTTTCTCTCCTTTTCTTATTCTCTGTTTTTCTTATGTTAATTGCAGTGTTAATCTCCATCGAATGTATGCGTTCCTTTTTTTCCCCCCTAAATCTTTTCTTTGTTCTATGTGAATATACAGATACATTACAGAGAAAAAGAACATCGTGTGTATGTTAATTGCAGTCTTTAGCTCTATATTCTGTGTTTTCTTTTTTCTTTTTATCTAATTCGTTATGTGTTGTTCTTGATCTAATTTGTTTTTTCGTTAAATTTTGATGATTTAATACATGATTTATCCTATGAGACTTTGAATTATTGTACTCTATGATATGTGCCTTTGAATATGTAATCTTTTTTCGTTTCAATTTGTGAGTATGGACTTGTGTTTAGTTCTGGGAATATGAAGGCATGATTTATGGTCTTGATTTAAGGAAATGTGTGTTTGTATTTTGTAGATGTTAAGGAAGTGGTGGATGATCTCACATGGCATCTTCAAATTTAGCTCGAAGAATGAGGATCCTTTCTCTCATCGGTACTCTTTCTCTCTGTATGCTTATCCTCTTTGTTGTGCGCTTCATTTGGAATTTGAGGACTTGATAGAAGGTGAAAAATGATTTCTCATTGTTTCTGATGATGGTAGTTAATTTTGGTTTAGATAAAATTAGCAATTCATGTATGTTTTGTGTGGATTTGGCTGACATGATCTTCTAGGTGTTTGTTAGTGTTGTTAGTCAAAAAAGGTCTAAAAGAGTTTATTGGTTGCAATGACAGAATATGTTACCAAAATCCCTTATGCTTAACATTAGGCCTTGAGGACCAAAACCAGAATGTGGGCATTTATTTATGTTGTTCTTTGTTGGGGTTATTGAAATTATTTTCTTCGTTCCTTCTATGTTATATTTGTTGGACCATGGTAGTTTTTCTACCCTTATATACTTCTTAATTTCTTTTAGTTAGCCCTGGTCGTTTTAACAAAATCCAAATAATAGCTTGATATGTTACTGATAGAATATTAGCAATGCAATATGATTAAGTTAGCAACTCATGGTTTGAAAATAATTGATTTGTTTGGGCAGGACTTTGATATATTAGTGATAGAAATTGGGTTGAAATGGATAAAAGTTAGATGTCTGCTGATAGAAGCACTTCTATAAAGCACTACTTCTGTGGACTTCGTCTAATACCATGTTTGTGTATTGTAGTATACACTCATATGGCTTTGGTTTTATCTGAACCTAAAGAACCGGTTAATGAAAGAATAATTATGCCACCAACGACACTCATATCAATAGTTAATTTGTTTTGATTAATCAATTTGTGATGTTTAGCATAGATATGGATAAGAATTGGATTTATTTGAAGAACCGTCTTTCAAAGACATATATGAGTAGAGTGAGAAGATTTAGAGGTTTTACCTTGAATTATATAAACTGAATTAATCATGGTGAGGAGGAAACCAATACTACTCCTAATGTACAAGATGAAGACTATGACTTTTTTTTTTTGTTTTTTACTAACTAACAAATAATGATTTTATGTAGAACACACATTCGAGTTCTGACTTAAATACTTCGGAAGGGTACTTTGAGGTCTTCAAGAATACTCATTGGAGTGAATCACGTGGATAGACAACTAAGAGAGCAAATATTATGTAAGAATTACTAAACATTTTATCATTTCGTTTGATTTTGTATTTTCTTTTTTTACTCTAACTTGAAAATTTATAACACTTCACCTAATGCATGAACAAATGATCAAGACTCGTGATGCTCGTTTAAGTAACTACCAGAAGGGTCAACAACAGGAGCTTATACAAAAGCTACTTCAGCAGACAAATCCGCCATCAAATTATCTTGGACCTTCCGTCTCAAGAAGAGAATATCCTTCACCACTGGCCTCAGTTTGTTAGATTGTTTAATTCGTGTAATACTAAGACTTTACTAGTACAATATTTGCATAAGTGTTTGGGTTTGTTTAAGTATGATTATTTTAGTATTTTGTTTGGATTCTAACATATATTGAAATATTTAGAGATTTTTAAATTAATATTTGGTATTTTATTTATATATATTTTTTTAAAAAAAATTTGGTGACTAAAAAAATTTGGTAGCAACAAATTATTTATTTGCTACTAAATATTTGGTGGCTACTTTTTTAAATACATTTCACCACTAAAATTTTAGTATCTGAATCTTGTACTTTTCGTTATTAAATATATTTTACTACAAAAAATTTAGTCCCTAAATCTCATATTTTTTGCTATTAAATACTTTTTGCTACCGAATATTAGGTTACAAAATCTTATACATTTCGCTACCAAATACAATTTGATATCATATATTTGGTCCCTAAATCTCATGGCTTTCGCTACTAAATACTTTTTGTTACCAAATATTTGGTGATTAAATCGCGTATTTTTTGCTACCAAATATATTTTACTATCAAAATTTCAGTGTCCTAAATCTCACACTTTTTGTTACCAAAAACCTTTTGCTACTAAAATTTTTAGTCTCTGAATATCATACATTTTGCTACCAAGAAAATATTTGGTAATAAAAACTATTTGCTACTAAAATTTTGGTAACTAATATTTTATGTTACGCATTTTTTGCTGCCAAAATTTTTTTGTAACAAAAATATTTTGTTACCAAAAACAGGATTTTATGTTACCAAATTTTTGGTAATAAAAAATTCAAATTCTTGTATTGTCATTTTTTAAGTATTTGTGAACCAAAAGTGTTTTAGAGACCATTTTCATTTTTCTATCTCAAAAGACGTAGATACGTTTTCAAAAATAAAGAAAAACAATTCAAGATAGCACACTAATGATTTAAATATTCCCAAAAAAAAAGTTTAGGGATGAGTCAAAGTAGGACTTAATTATAAATATGTACCTGATTGGCACATCCAATACAAAAACTGAGAAGAATTGCGATCGATAATGAGCATCGCTAGGTTTTGAGCGAAGGCGTTGATGAGTGCATCCACATAAAAATTGAATTCCGCTGCACAACGATGAAGTGAAGAGTGTTAACGATTGACTGTCAAATCTACAGTAAGAATGAATCCATGGAGGTCACTCCACCTAATCATATCAAACATATTAAAAAGAAAAAAAAAAGTCAAAATTTGTGATCTTACCAAAGAATAAAAAGAAACCATATATATAATGAATTATATGTCTCGAAAGTTTCTATAATGTAGATACTGAACGCTGTGATCTATATAATTATTTACTTGTTTTTCCAAAAGTTAAAAAGTACAATTTAAGTTTTTTTTTTTTTTTTTTTTTTTCAAAGAACACTTATAACAAGCCCGTTAAAAAAAAGAATACATAGTTACTCCTCTTTCGTTTATTTTTTTTCTCATAAATTTTAGTAATTTCTCAATAAAGAGTTCAAATACTTACAGCGGGAATCAAATTTTTGACAATTTTTGATTTGTTATTTCCCCCAGTAGATAAATATCTGCAATCCAAATTCCTTAATAAAAAGCCATAATTCTAAACTCTTTTTATTTCCATAATTAATTTATCGCCTTACAATATTGACCTTTTCTTTTTGACCCTTTTCGTATTAATCGGGAAGTGAAATATTGATTAAGACTACCCATAAAACATCAATAGCCACATAAAAACATATAACGAGCAAGAATATTGATCCCCATAAAGGTAACCAAAGCTTCACGTATACACAGAATATTCAAACAAATTAACATGAAGGGAAAGTGACTGACTCTTTGATGTATCAAAAACTATGTCGGACAGTCGGAGAGTAATAGGCAGGCAAAAGTCCGGGCAGTGGACTTTTGAGCCATGCAGACAGTAATCCTCGCAGGCCAAATTAATGATTTAAGATGGTCCAAACTTGTTGTCAGCCACGCTAATATATATATGTGTGTGTGTGTGTGTGTGTGTGTGTGTGTATGTATATATTTGTGTGTATATATATGTATATGTGTGTGTGTGTGTATGACCAAGATAATAGCTTTGACTATTGACAAATAAACATTATTTACAAAATATTACAAGTGATTCAAGAAACAATATATGTATCTTTCAGTTAGTTTTGCTTGGAATTCCTTCTTGTCCTGATCTAATAATCTTTTAGAAGAAAACGGGACATTAAATTATATGGTACGTACGTCAAAGGAAATTCCAGACATAAGATTAAGGAAGGTAAAAGCAGCTATATGTAGGATGAAGAAAGTGATCCAAAGCTATTAAAATATAAGCACTCTTATTTATTCTGATAGGATTAAACCTCCGTTATTCACAAAAAGTGAGTTCCTTTAAATTGATAGGTTAGACATAACTTAATAGAATTTATCATTTTGTGAGTAATGGGGGTTTTATCCCGACGAGAATAAATACCACATTCGTTAAAATATGGGCCTGTATATAGGATACTACTAAGCACAAGTTCAGATAGCATGCATTAATAAAAAGGAAATAGTAAGAAATAGGTCAATATGAAAAGCTTAAGAAAATATATAGGCAAATTTTTAGTTATAAAAATTAATAGGCCATAATTTGTCAAGTTATGGTTCATAACCAGATAAGTTATGGACAATAACTTGTCAAGTTATGGTTCATAATTAGACAAGTTATTGACGAAAATAGTAATTTGACCTATTTATTAACTTATGTAAACTATTGACCTATTAATTTTAATTCATCTCAAGTCTTAGCCTATTTTTTTCTTTCTCCCTTAATAAAAAGACTAGTGTTATTCAAAAAGTAAATCTTTTTGGACTTCATTAGACGATGATAAACTTCATTACAAGTTAATTAGTCAGGAATCAGTCGGCAGTTGAAAAAAAAAAGGGTCAGTATACAGAAAAGCTGCGACTCCGAGCGTTAAATAGACTACTACTCAAATTGGTGGAGAATCTATCTAATGACTACCGTCACATGTATATGAAATGACATAAAAGCAAGTGGATATGGGTTTTCACGTATATTTGACTCACAAGGGTCAAACTTTCCGAGTAAGGAAAAAAAAAAAATTGCCAAAGAAGAGTCGATAGAATGTAACAGGTTAAACTAAACACATTTAAGCCATTCATTTTATGTCATTCAGGAGACCATATGATTCATTTGTTGAAGAAATTGCCCGGGGACTAAAGCCCCCACAAACTTTTCGTGTATCTAAAGAAAACCTGTTTAATACAATGTACATTATATTATATAGCATCAAATTATTATATAATAATCCTAAAAAACGAAAATATGATTTTTATTTCTTTTCTCCTTAAGATCATATTATTGAGAAAATACCACTTTATACAAAAGTCCAAGTAAAACACTATATTTTACGTGGTTACGCATAATCTACTCGTAAAATCCGTACTTAATTTCACCTTAAAATTGTAAAGTTCAAATTCCCCAAACCCATTATACCACTCCCACTAAGTCTAGAAAACCCCAAAACCCAATTTCTTTCATCTTTCTTCTCCACTGAAATCCCTTATTATAAGCATTTTGTTTGTCATTTCTTGATATTATTTCACTATGCAAGGTTTAATTTTATTTTCTTGCGATTACATATATTCGGGCCATTGTAGTTTGATGGGATTTCTATGGAGAAAAAATTTCGTCTCATGTTATGTACATACCATAGGCGCCCCCTTATTTTCTCAATTTTTTTAAAGATTCTCTTCTTGACATATTGAATACACGTATTAATATTTTAGTAATTGGTCTAGTTTATAGATTGTGTTCTAATTTTTAATTTAATTAATTATGAGTACTCCTACAGTACTGCGAAAATTTTGGGGTACTATCAATCTCTAAGAAGTTAATTAAAAACATTGATCACTTTATTTTTGTAAACAAAAATATAGTGTTGTTCCTCTGTACTCTGTAGGATAACATGATGGAGATTTCAAAAATAAAGAAATCAGTTTCCTTAGCAAATGGTAAAGATTAGTTAACAGGACATAATCTTCTACTTACAACTTTGTAAGAACATATGTCTTAATTTAATTAGTAAATATTTTAACTTTGATTAATTGATTTTCTTGAAAACAATTATATATTTTAATAAAAAATTTACTGTAGTAATCAATCTAGAAGTTTTAGATTTTATGGTATAGTTACTGATTACTAACAAAATCTTTTAGTTCTGTTACAGCGTACAAGTACTGTAAATTCGATATCAAATCGGTTGTTTCCATGTTAATAAAACCACAAAATACATATAATTCCAAATTGGAAAAACGAATTTAGCCACGCTTTAAACAAGGTACAAGTTGTCAATGAAACAACTCAATTAAAGTTGAAGTGGGGATACTATAGCCTATCTAGATAGCTTAATGGGGCCGATCGCTTTAGATAACAGCTAGCAAATTGGTAGATAGCGCTATTTTGTGTGCTGATACCTAATACGTGTGTGCGCGCTTACTATTTGTCTATTCTCTCACATATTCTTTTTTTCTTTTTCTTTTTCTTTTTCTTTTTTATAAAAAAACGTCTCACATGATCATTAATAGATAAGCACAACCTAAAATTTATTGCACTTTCAGAAATATCATTTTCTCTCTCTCTCTCTCTCTACAGTCCAAAACCCTAGCAGGGTCAGTCCATATATGCCCAATTGGCAACCGAGTAGAAAGTACTAATGACACCAATGCTTTTTCTTCCTTTTTGGGTGTCCCCCCGCGAAATCCCCACGCATTAATATCACCCCTTTTTCATTCAAAAACACCCTTTTATATATATCTCCCTAATGGGTCCTCAAAATCTCATTAATCCAATGAGTATAACCCTCTTTTCTCTCTCTCTCTATATTCATTTTATAAGTAATACCTATATATAAATTATATATATACATGGCTGACCAAAATAATCCCAATACGACCGACCAATCACCAAACCTTGACTGTCCTCCTAATTCATCATCATCATCTTCTTCTTCTTCTTCTTCTCTTTCTCTTCCAATTCAACCATTACGCCAACATTGTTCTCTCCCTCTTGTTCCCACGTGCGAGAGTACAACAACTACTGCACCATATTCTTCAACGCAGCCAAATTCTACGTCCAATATCATGGCCTCAACATCCTCCGGCTCTAACCACCCAGCAAGGTTTAGGGGGATCCGGTGTCGGAGCGGCAAATGGGTGTCGGAGATCCGAGAGCCTCGTAAGACGACCCGGATATGGCTCGGCACCTTCCCGGCGCCTGAGATGGCGGCTGCCGCCTATGACGTGGCGGCGCTAGCCCTAAAAGGTAGCGATGCCGTCCTCAACTTCCCTACTTCCGTGGGAGACTACCCGGTCCCCGCCTCCACCTCCCCCGGAGACATTCGCAGCGCTGCCACCGCGGCTGCTGCGTCCAAGAGGGCCGAGTTAGAGAGGAGGAAGGCGGCACGGGAGGCAATGACGGCATCTTTTCACGGAGATAGTAGTAGTACTACTACTGCAGAGTTGACGACGTCGTACGATCACGGTGAGTACGTGGACGAGGAAGCGCTGTTTGGGATGCCGAATTTGCTGGTGGAGATGGCGGAGGGAATGCTGCTGTCTCCGCCAAGGATGATGGAGTCGCCGCCGCCATCAGACGAGTACTACTCGCCGGGGAGTTCAGACGGTGGAGATAGTTTGTGGGGTTATTTTTGATAATGTGCTACTTGCTGCATATAGCTAGCTAGCTAGCTTCTTCTAAAATTTGTTCAACACCAAAAACAAATAAAGTTAAAAAGAAAGGGAAAAAAAAAAGATAATTGAAAGAAGAGAAATTAAAGGAGGACAGCGTGAAAGCATGAAACTGTCTGGGGTAGCATGGTACGTAGCAGTGTTAATTTGGAGACCATGTAATCTATAAAAGTAGATTTGATAAAATAAAACGGGATTCGGAATAAGAAGCATGACAACACCATGACGCATCATATATATATATATATATATTTGCGGTCAAATATGTACGTTGAGTTACATTGGAGAGTAAGAAAAGGTAGCCACTAGAGCATAGCTAGCTTAATTAGTAGTCGAAATTAAAGGATTTTTTTACCAGAGGCTGCTGGATGGTGTGGTGAGTTCCTTTCTTTTTTTTTTTTTTTTTTCCCCTCTTCGGAGTACATGAATATATACATTCTGATAGTGCTGTTTGCAGGATCTTCTTGATCTTCTTGCTTTTCCTTTTTTTTTTCCTTCCTTTAAGGAACCTTATTGTTGTAAGATTCTTCTTATAAAATAGTAATTATACACATCGTTTTCTTTCAAAGTTAAAAAGTAATATCTATCAACTGATTGTCGTTGCTTATGCTTAAGTTTGTCTCATTTTTCTCCTTGTGACATATGATACAGTAGTAGAAACGAGTTTTTTTTATTTATTTTATACATTTTACGTGTGTCTAGAGAGAGAGAATATATTCTCACACGTATATTTATGTGCTCAAATTCAAATGTCTATAGTCTTCATACTTTCCAAGCTTTTCCATGTGGCAAGTATGATAAGCTAAGGAAAACCAAAAAAGCAATGTTTCTTTAAGTGCAATGATATATTTCACGAGGCAATGAATCTCAAGATTGATTGTGAGACGTTCGGGAGGAGGAGTTTGGCTTTATATCATGAGTCAAAGCTAAGAAGGGTATGGGGGTCCCCCAAGACAAACAATAAAAAAGTGTCAATATCGATTTGATGAAAGCTTGATGGTTGTCAAGAATTTAGTTTTTGATTAACCTGTTATTATATAAAAAAAGTTTCCTTTCGATTGAACTCTTGCACTGTTTGTACTGTTCAACTGTCCGGTGCAATCATGAGACTATAAACAGGTTGCTCTCTTCTTCATTTTTCCACTTCTTTTTTTACTGTACATGGAGTTTCTCTATTAAATTTTTAAAAAAATAAATTACTGATAATTTTTTATTTTAAATTATTATATAACATTAAAAATTATCCGTTTTGCATATTTTTTTAAAGTGATTTAATTTTGATTAAATTTAACTGCTAAATATAAAAAACTATCTATAATTTATTTTTTATATACTTAATTATAATCGTTATTGCTATACTACTAGATAAAGTTTTCAGATACATTCCCTCTATAAATGTAAAATATATATTATACACATGGTATTATTCTAACGTCAACTTGTCAGCATATTATTAATCTTTCTAAGCCTATATGTCTACGACTTTAGAAAATTCTATCTATCCAAGCATGTATGTACAAGAGCTTCATATCTTTTCTGAAAAATTTTAACTTTACAATACTATCACAATCACAATTTTATTTACCCCTTTTAGAACAACATTTCAATTAACTAATTAACCAATTAATCTCTCCCACTTTTTCCTAGCTATGATGACCTCTTTGGAATCAATCAAGGATTGACACGCATAGGAATGAAAACCTAGAGGAGTTCTGTCCCCTAAGGAGACAAGTGATTATCTTATCAGATCATTTGATTCATTTCTGTCCAAAAAACACTTTTGAATATGAAGCAATTTTGAGATGGAATTTGACTATTAGAAAAATGGTCAAAATCAGTGCACACGTAGTTAAGGCCCCTCAGCTGGCACATTATTCCAGGCATCTAATAATAATCTAAGTAAGTCAGAGAACAATGGGACACGAGGAATCGTTCTCCTTTTTTGGTAGGACTACCACTAGACGTTGGTCCCTTGAGCAAACCAAAGTTGGCCCCTATCTTTTTTTTTTTTTTTTTTTTTTTTTCTTTTTTACTTATGAAAATAAATTTTTTTTTTTTAAAAAAAAAAAGAAGAAGTGATCAGGTTACCTAGGCCCCTCTCTGAAAAGAAAGGATTAGGAATGATCTCTTTCTATCGTGTTGTTTTCTTTTTTAAATTTTTTCAATAATAATTCATGAGTCAGATATGTTGTACCACATATGAATGAAATTGTGTGGTACGGTATGAAGGAAGGATAGTACATATTTCCGAAATCCATTATGTTTTTATCAAATTCTATTTATATTTGCATTCTGATATGTTTTTGAAACGATGTTAGGTTTAGAATTTGCCATTATTTATTAGTGCTTTCCTATCAGATAATAAGTTCCCTAGATATAGAGAATACAAAAAATAATACTTTATTGAAATTCTAGTCTATAAAATACAAATTAATTAATTTCTGCTATTAGAAGATATAATATTCCTCTCTTTTTTGAATTCAATGACTAACTAAGAAGTTATAACAATAACGATTACAATTAAGTAAATATAAATATTGATCACTAGGTTCACTACGTACCCAATAAATAAAAAAGCTACACAACAAGGATGCTTTAACTTTTCAGGTACGAAAAGTGAAAAGAAATGACCAAGTTTTCAAGAAAAATTTTGCGCAATTTCTGTCTCTGCGTGTTTATACAAATGAGTGAATATATTTAGGTCTCGCTCATTTCATCGATTCGAGTTTAGAATTCAAGTTTTGTTATAGTAAAAAATTCTCAAAAATAATCACATCTAATTTTTTTACTACAGTAAAAAACTCTCACATAAAGTTACATCTCAACTCGAATTAAAAACTCAAATCAGCGAACTAAATATTCATATATAAGAAACGTTTTAAGTCCAGCGTTGACCAGTCATGTAAATATAACTTTTTTGATGTATGTATGTATGAGTTTTTAATTGTTATGTTTCTATGGTCAAACATAAAATTTTAATTATATGGCATGATAAAAATACAATCTCATTAATGACTATAAACTTTTTTTATTAATTATCTAATTTATTTTAACCTGTCAAATAATATTATTGATAGGTAAATATTAGAGTGACCCTTCAAATCACACTCACATATATATATATACATATATATATATATATATATATAATTCAATGAGAGTGTACGGCTCGAGAAAACGATATATGCATATATTTATAACTGAAAATTTAATCCTTAATATATAAAACTTGTGGTAGTTGATCTCTTTGTCCCATGTACATATACAACCAAAGAAAATAATCAGCGTACAACAGCAGGATATTAGCTTGTCATGCTACTAGCTAGCTGACCACTAACATTATTATTCAAATAAAATGAACCTTCCACAACAATATCATCATTCATTATCAATTATTGATCAAATAGTCCATCAAGGCAAGCTACATCTGATCAACTATTCATGTTTCTCTTCCTTTCTTTCCTTTTCAGTTTTAAAAGCATTTTTCCAAGATTCCGAGAGGCCGGTTTGGTGGGCCATATTGAATACAAGCTCTGCAAATATTAAAAGAGAGAAAAGAAGCGTGGTTGAAAGTCGGCCATGAAACTGAAAGAAGAAGATACATACATACATACATATATATATATATATATAGTGGGGGGACCTTCAAATGTGCAAAAGGTGTTGTTAGTCTTGTTTGTACCTTTTCGTATATCCATAAAATCAACAAAAGAAAAGGTTGTCTGTGTGGTGGATTTTCTTTTTTGATATCTCGTCAAAGAAGCAGCTAAATATAGCCGAAATTCTTTCAATTTTGAATGAGGAAAAAAAAATGTTTTGACTATGGAAGACATGTATGGCCGACATCCATTCCTACTTTACCTCTATCCTCATCACAATCATCGGTTGTTGATGTGTCACTTGCTCTCTTCCTCCCGAGCATGGTTTAATATGTTAAGAATTACACGTCACTACAAAAATTGTGGATTTGACAATGCTAATTAGAGGACGGTTTTATACAAAACCGTCGTTAAACTTGTTATTAAAAACATGGTGATTGACACGACAACTATAGATGACGGTTTTCTAAAAAACTATCGTCTAATACAAGTATTTTTAACGACGGGTTTTCATAAAACTATCGTTGAATCTAGTTTTTAACCCAAAAAAACTTCATTTCGTAAAAATTCACTCGAAAATTAAAATGCCCGCCCACTGAGTTATTCCGCCAATCTCTCCGCCCAAACAGGGCTGCCACCCTAAATAGGCCCCTTCTTTCTTCCATTCGCCGCCTTCTCCTTCCACTCTCCGTCATTTTCTCCATAAATCCGCGAAGAACATCAAGTAAATTTCGTTAATTTTCTCTTCCTTTTTGTATACATTTGATAATAAAAAAAAATTGAAGAAAATAGCTTAGATTTTATGGGTTTGAGTATTATAGATGTTGGGTGTTTGTTGTTTTATAAAATTTGTTTATGTTGATGATGAAATTAGTTTAGGTTTTGTGATTTTGAGTAATATGGGTGTTGGGTTTTTAGTTTTTGTCTTGAATTTGTTATATAGATGATGAAATTTGTTTAGGTTTTGTGGTTTTGAGTAATATGGGTGTTGAGTTTTTGTTGTTTGTATTGAATTTGTTATGTAGATAATGAATTTTGTTTATGTTTTATGATTTTGAGTAATATGGGTGTTGGGTGTTGGGTTTTAATATGTTGTTTTGAGTAATTGTATGATTTATGTGTTTATGTAAGCGATATATTTATTGTTTGGTTTTTTGTGTAGCAATGGATAGGAAATGGATGTTTGCAAATAGGTTGAGTGATGGATATAAAGCAAGGGATGAAGAATTCATTTCTTTTGCAAAGAATACAATGAAAGGGAATATTCTTCGTTGTTCGTGTTTGCAATGTGGCAATATTAGAAGACAATCGATGCAAGATCTTATATTCCATTTGTTCCGATTGGCATTGATCGGACTTATCAAACATGGATATGGCACGGTGAAGAGGTTCCAAGTTTATCTTTGGCTGTTAGAAGAATTGAG